GCTATTGGGAACAAAGGGCATCGCTACTAGTAGCAAGAAGCTACTAGTAGTGATGCCCTTGTTATTAGTAGCTTCTTTTTACTAGTAGTAAGGCCAGGAGCCGACGCTTCTAGCGTCCTTGCTACTAGTAGCGATGCCCTTGTTACAAGGTAGTCACATACATTCGAATAGATTGGTGGTCGTTTCGGGCTACGGGGTCACCCTGACCAGAAGGACAGAACTGAGACGAGGAGACAGATACATCCCTAGCGATACATCTAAATGGACTCGGAGAGCCAGACTCACTTCAGATTCTTTTCTCGAATTGTTCAGTCACCGTCCTTCAGTTATGTTTTGAAGGAAGAAAGGAAGGTCTAAGGTCTGAAAATGAAAAGAACAAGGGAACAACCGAAAAAGAAGTGGAGAGGGCCATGCAGTCTCAGTCACTGCAGGGCGGTAGCAGTTTCATTTCTTTCCCTTTGAAAGAGGACCCCATGTTATTGTGTCATTGGACCACAACTGGTAACACATATGTGTTATTAAGATGATGCAGCCACAACGAAGAAAGAGCAATTGTGATGAGTATGTTGTGGCGATTGCACGTGTACCACCCGTTTCTCTTTACCTGGGTCTGCTCGGATAGCGGATAGAATCAAATGGTGATTCACAGTTCATGCAGATGTGGACAATATCATAATATTGCTTTTGATGGCCGAATTACATGGACTGGATGACAGTTCTAGTGTAGTCAAACCGCGAAACTCACACAACGACACACACACACAACGACGCATACAACGCCACATACGCTTTTCCACCTGTAGGAACAAGCATTTGCCAGAAAGTTGGGATTTGCCACGTAGATCTATTTATTGGGTTGGAGGCCATTGCTATTAGGGACCATACAGTTTTTGTTTGTTTGGTGAAGAGCATGCCTTTAGGGCTTTTCGGCTTCCTTCTCTTTCCTTGAGGGACGCATTGCGAGTCGACTGGATGAGATGCCGCTTGGGCCATGTTGTCAGGTCCCTGGATTCCACATGACCTACGTGAAGTGGGAAAACAGCAGTGCTTGTCGAGCTGAGGTTCCGGAGGCAGAGGTGGAGGACATCAAGAAGGTGAGATTTTGGTCGAAGAGATACCAAAAAGTAAGATGGAACAAGGATCTAAAGGTTCGACAGAAAACAAGTTCACCAAGTCTCAAGGTGTGTAAAATTTGGAAAATGCCGACTTTCAACTTTAATGACTTTGCTGTTAGCTTGTTGATGATGCAAATCTTTGTTTTTGGTCTGCAATATCATGTGATGCCACCGCATGTTCCCGTGCTAGAGCTTGCAGCACTTGCAGGCTCTGGAACCCCACTATGGATGGCTGAAACTTATCTGTAGCATTGAGTGGCCTTAAACATAAGCTACTAGGAACAAGTGCATCGCTAGTAGTAACAAGTGCCTTACTAGTAGTAACAAGTAGCTAGTAGAAACAATAAGCTACTATCGCTAGTAGTAACAAGTGCCTTACTAGTAGTAACAAGTAGCTAGCATTTGATTCTGCAATTTTCAACTGAGGATGTGTTTGTATCGTCGCATCTCATCTGGGGATGTGCCCCTTAGCGCGTGAACGTTGGGTTTTGCAACCTACTAGTAATGGCCTCCAATCCACTAGCGATGACCTCCAAACTAATAGTGATCGCTTTCGATCTCAAGTCTTCGCTTCGCTTTGGGTGCGCTGTAGCTTTTTTCTTCACCCCCTCGACGAGATCGGCAGTTGTTCACTCCTAGGTCTGGCGAGGGTTTCGGCATCAGCCAGCTGCAGGTGAGGATTCAGTCCGCCAAACACGACACATTATTTTGCCCCTAGTAGCATCCTTGCTCCTAGTAGCAAGGCCAGGAGCCCCTAGTGGCGTCCTTGCTCCTAGTAGTGAACCAAGTTATTTTGGGTGCCCAATCTTACTGCACACTATCACGTTTGTTTGTTCAAACCTTTTTTACACCCGCTGTGTAACATGGACTCAACAGCAACTAGAAGTGTTCCCAGATTGCTGTCACCATTATGTTTGGGGATGACACAGCTGAAACACCCACGTAATCGCCATGAACAAGATAACGAAGGTTCAACACAGAACTTCAAACTGTTGCATGCCTTTCACAGGTCTTTTGCAGGTTCGGCGGCGCATTTCAACAACTAAAACATCGCAAGATGGTGAAAGAAACGGGTAAACACTTAGACCGGTCAATCTCCAACTCCAGGCGTTTGTGCCTGTTTGTGGCTATAAAGCAGGTTTGGGTCTTCCGTCAGTCTTCTCAGGCAGGAGAGCTGATGATGAGTGCCGGAATTTGTGACGGTGCAACAACCAAGGCTGGCAATCAACTGAGCTCCGGAGTCAAATTCTAATAGCTGGTGAGTGCTGAATGCTCATGAATAGCGATGGCCTCCAACCTACTAGCGATTGCCTCCGACCTAAGAGCGATGGCCTCCAACCTGATAGTGCTGAATGCTATATGCTCACATTCAATCATTCACATTGTCGCAAACCCTTTTGCGTCCCTTTGCTGGCTCTTGTTGGCTGTTTGTCCTGTCCCAGTCGGCCCTCGCCGTTTGCCCTTGTTTACCCTTGTCAGGTTGCCGACATCGACCGCTTCTTTATTGCAGCGAAAGTAACTCCTGCCGAATTGAGGAAGATTCTTGACAGTATTGATATATATATATATACATTAGGCCCTACGAAGGCTCCAGGCTAGAGTAGAGGGCATAGGCTACTGGGGTGTTCAAACATCACTGGTGGATGGAATTGTGTCCCGTCCATTCTATGTCTAGGTGACATTTGTAGGTTGGAGGCCACTCCTAATAGGTTCCTTTTGCTCTTAGGTTGGAGGCCATCGCTATAGTAGGTGGGAAGCCATCGCTAGTAGGTTGGAGGCCATCGCTAGTAGGTTCCTTTGGCAATTAGGTTGGAACACAAGGAGCCCTGAAAGTCCGAAAGCCTGGCACATCTTTCTTCCTTCTGACATTTTTTCTTCAGACATTTTTGTTTCTTTAGACTTTTGTTTCCCGTAGACCGTTGTATTATATATATAAACATCTATAAACATAGTTTTGTCTTCTTTAGACCTTGTTCATAGATCATCTTTTCTTTTCATAATCTTTTTGACACACTTTTGTTCTTTCGACACCGTATTTTTAATGTCGATGGTTTTTGTTCTTCAGATTTTGTAAGACAATGTGTTCATGTTTTCTTGTTTTCCTTAGACCTTATTTTACTGTATGTTGATGTGTTTCAATTAATTAGACAGCTTTTGCTCTTTTTAAAGACCACGTTCTTTTCTCTATAGTTTTTTTTGTATTATAAACAGAATATTTGTTTTAAATTAGGAGAACTCAGGGAGCTCATCTTTGGATTCCTTTTCTTCAACCTCAAGCCCCGATTCAACAGCATGGCCTGATCGCACCAGCCGTCAACACACCGACACCATCACGCCAGCACTCCCGCTCCAGCCCAATTGCTGTTCCCCCACAAACCAGAAACCCATAGCAACCCCGTGCATAACACACGTACCATGCCCACCAGCAGGTGCCAAGTTTCACACATCCCTTACCAAGCTGGCGCTCCAGAAATGAGGCGATGCAGCACTTCCCAAGAGAGCAAACGGAAATTGAACAAGCTACTCCTAATTGTCTCCTCACCAATGCCTAGTGCCCTCATGGCCCAGCATGCTACCGGCGTTTCAAGTCTAAGACACTTGGCATTCACAGGACTGGAAGGTATTCCCTAAAACCCAAGACTGCCTCTTCCATTGATAGCTGCTTTCTAGGACTCTTTAAGGCACCATGCTCGCTGGACGGCACGTTTCATTGTTTCTTGGCGGTCTGCAGGCTGGACGGGGTTCATTGACATGTCTGTTGTCTGTTGTCTTTTGACGTTTCCTGGTTCATACAGCACGAGGACCACCCCAGTGCTGTGAGTGATGGTCCAATGGTCCAACGAAGCGGCCACAGTACATGCAGATATCACGGCTGATCACCGTGACGTACCTGCCCGAAGTATGTGGATGTTCATAGCTGGCACAGTAGATTCAGGCCGCTTAGGTGCAGGTTTCGATTCTTTTGAACACTGGAACCTTCGGAGCTTGTGGAACTTGGAGACTGGAAGTCGAAAGTTGTTGCAACTTGTGACCGCCACACAGCGTTAACTTATGTTAACTTGCTTTACTTGGGTTACTCAGGTTTTTCTTTTCACTCAGACCTTCAAGGGAGGTGGCACATTCAGACCGTTAACCTCAAGACTGTGTATGTGTGTGTGTGTGT